ATTACTCAAACACGAGATTTCACTAGCCTGCTTTACAGCAGACGTGACATTCGCAGTCATGATCTAGATCGGCCCTTCTCCTGGAAAACCTTTGCACAGGACGAACAACTCATGCAAGTAGCCATCTGGTGTTCTGCGGAAAGTAAAAGCCGAAAAATTTGCCCTTCCATCGCTAGAAACATTAACAGATGCCGATGTTCGGCGACCACCGGCGTGTCCAAAAACGCCGTTATGGATATAAAGTTGCTGAATTCCACCTCGGAGCTCGCGCCAGTGTTCGAAGGCGCTGAAAAAGCTGGTAAGCGAGGTTTCTTGACTCACTAGCATGCAAGCAAAACATGAAGCTAAAAACTGGGAAGTCGCACGGCTTTTCGCCCTTGCGTGTCGTCTCTTGTCCACCCGAGAAAGAGGGCGCACAAAGGACAAAGAAAGACGATACAACGAGACAAAAGCACAAAGACAAAGAGGGCACCAGACAGGGAAGACAAGAAGCCCCAGACCAAAGAAACCCGTGAGGGACAACATCAGGTCAGGAGGTAAAGACACCCAAAAAGACTCCCAGAACATCAAAAATTGGCCCGATGAGACTCCTATTTCCGCTGCGCTTTGTGCAGCGGGGATTGCGGCTTGGTTGGCGACGAGTGGGAAGCAATCTCGCCCTTGATGTCCTTGATCGCATCTAACAGCTGGGAAAAGCCTGTGTTTTGAGAATCTTGCAAGCTCTGCAACTTGACGTTGGTGTTCTTCTGGCCTTCTTCCAGACCTGCGATGCTCTGATGGACACCCTTCATCTCCACCTCTAGCTGCTCTATCCTGCTCGCCATACCGGCGTAAGGAGCTGGAAGTAGGGATTGAACTGGGCGTGAAGGAAGAGGAACCGCCGTAGAAGACTGCGCTGAGGCCATAAAAGGCATCAGATTTTTTGGTTTGCTCTCCTCTCTCGATGCCTGCAGCGGGGTTCCTTTGGAAACGGCTGCAATCTTTCGTGGCCTGCGTTCCTCGGAAGTGATCAGAAGAGTGCCCAACGATGAGGCAATCTTCCAAGATGCTGGGTCTTTGTCTGAAGCAACAACTGCTGTGGCCAGTTCCTGGATGTGGATCACACGTAATGGGACTACATTCCAACCAGCCGCTTTCAAAGTGGCTCGCACATCCTTGCATGTAGTCCCAGCTGTAAAACCCTGTACCCGAAACTGCTTCGCACACTTGAGGGCGATATTGTCATCATCAAACCTCTCATCTGCCTCAAACCAGAATCTTCTGGCTTCCTTGATGTGCTTGTCATCAGCCCGAATGTAGAAAGCACCATTGCTAGCAAATGCACCTAGCCAACCAGGAATGCTTTCACCAGCACGCGTAACTGCTGCTAAATCTCTCTCCCCGTAGACACGCATCACCTCCAAACCAGTCTCACTGGGATCCGTCGGCAAGCGAGCTGCGCGGATCTGGACACTACATTGGCCAGACTTGCGGTACAGCGTGTCTCTGGCTTCAATTGGCACAAGTGCCCTTCTCATAGTATACTCATCCTTTTCGACGACTTTGTGAAGCACCACACGATGAGACAAAGCAGTCGACTTCATAAGCGATTCTGAATACACTGCAAAGGCTTCTGCGCTGCCAAAAGAATTCCAATCAGCAGGGGCAGCTTCGGATTTTCGAATCTCGATGAAAACAGGGATCTTGACCTCGTCGGACAGCTCAAGGGCGCTTTCATGATGTGTCTTACAGATGTAGTCACAGCCATCGGCCGCCAAGTTGATCAATGTGAGGGCACGGGGCTCTTCCTTGCTCGATACATGATCAAACACAGTCAGAATCAGTTGGCTAACACGTTGCTCGTCCTCAACTCCTTCTTTCAACTTGTGCTTGACAAAGCCTTTGAGGATCAAGATGAACGGTCTGATCGTGCGCATAGTGATCAACTCTTGACTCCGGGCTAGAGACACAAAGGAGTAGCCTTCCGCACTTTCATGAATCTGCTCAGCTGGTACATTGGGGAGTGACTTGCATACAGCACCAGTAGGCAAGGAAAGCTCGGCAGAATCTGCCAATGTCAAGCCCGGTTTGCCAGCACGGGATTCCCATGCGCATCGAAATGCGGCGGAACTACCAGTCTCCATCTTGCAAGACTCGAAACAACCTTCACTGCACCTACAAGATTCACCGAAGCTGGGAGGAGCAGTCCCAGTGATGACATAATGTATCGCCAACCAAGCAACAAGAAC